GGGTTACTACCCAATGGATAACCTCCTTATGTGCGCACTAGACTTGTAGAGGGACATTCCCCTGTACTAGAACCAAGCCCTAGCCGTAGTCATAACAATGATATCCCCAAGTTTCCAAAATCAACATTTTGTGCAACAACATATATGTATAAACATGACATATATATATACAATGTAAAACCATCTACCATGCACAAACCAATTTTGGAAACACAATACATGCTCTAGTTCACAACTATAATGGCATGCAAATTGTTGAATAATCATTATGCAACTTATCATACTTCATAACAATATTATTCAACAATAGGTATTAGGGACATATCCTCACAAGCATTACACAAGTTTAAAATCAAGACTTAGACATGTAATCAACATGAAATTCATACTCAACTCATTAACACAACAAGGATAGAAATAAATTTAACAAAACAACCAATTTCTCTAGATTTTATTTCTCATCTAAGCATACTCAATTTAATATATGTTGAAGAACTTATCATGATCATTACATATATTTCTTCAAAACCTAATTTACTTTATGGAAACATATGGATAAAAATTAATTAAATTAATTTATAAATCCCTTTAGATTTCAAAACAACCCAAAATGATTTCAAATTAACATAGGTTATAAATCAAGTCATGGCCTTTCCTAAAATCATGTTTTAGCTTAATTTCATGCAAGGTACTATTAATTATTATCTTCAAATCTTAAATCAAAGACATGTAATACATATGAATCATGTTATAAAATACATAAAATATTAAAGAACATAACTTAGAACACCCCCTACTTCACAAGATGATTGTTCCTCTTGAATGCAAGTGAAGCAAAGGAATTTCAAGTTTTCCTTCTGAAAAAATGAAGAGGAAGATGAGGCAAGACTTTTGTATTCCAAACTCAATGATCTAAGGTGAGTGGAAGGAGATCAAAAATGAAGTCAAAGCCTTAAACCAAGCTTGTCTTCAATGGTGGCTAGTTTAGGGTTCTTGAGAGGAAAAAGATGAATGATCTAAAGTGTGAAATAAAATGTGAAAACCCTAAGTTAAAAATGGTGGGATTCTCCACTCACTAGGTGCTCTTACACTACCTCTCACACACACACTTGCAAGACTAAAGGTGAGTCCTACACTTGTCATTCATCTAAGGCTCCTTTCTAGGCTAAATTGCTAGCCTACACTTGTCAATCATCTAAGCCAACATGTGGTCCAATCCTAGGCCAACAAATGGGTGAATCTCCACCCTCCATGTGTCACAATATTATGCTTCCAAGTCTTTCCACCCCAATGCCAACAAGTGGCACCATGACAATGTGACACTTGTCACATTTTTTGAAAATTGCAAAAAGCTCATTTTTGAAAATGTCTTCCAAATTAAGTTGCAAAATGGTCCCTAAGACGAAAAGTAAATTACTTTATTTAATTACACAAAAATTCCTTAAGTTATGAAAATTACCCAAAAATTATGCATCCATGCTCCTTACAAGAAAAGTAAACATTTAACATGGTCTTCTAAAAAAGTGAAAATGTAGATATCATGGAAATGAAATATCATGGACGCATGCAAAGCCGGAATCAAATCCGAGCACAAAAAGTGAGGTTATACAAGTAAAAATGAAAAATGAGAAAAGAACGAAATAGGGAAAAGACAAAAAAAAAAAGATTTACTGAAAAAAAGAAAGGAAGGAAAATGACCGGGTCATTATAGCATTGATGCCTCGTTAGTCGCAACCATCAAGCCCGCCTTCGATGGAATCGTTTCCACATTCACTGCCGATGACGAAGATGAATCGATTTGGGTAGTGCACGGAGGTCAGTTCATCATCTACGATTGGAATTTGACTAACACCGGTACAATCCACACACATGTCAAGGATATAACCTCCATCCATTGCGTTTAGCCGGACATCGCTACTGTCGGATCTGACATATCCGCCTGCATCCAGTTTTACGCATTTTCTAACTGTAGTTATAAAGCTGTTCTAAGAACATCCACGTCACCAAGGGTGACCTTTTCAACACCACGTCAAGCTGTTCCAAGACCATGTGAATATATGGAAATTATCAGAAGTTGTGCTTTATAGGGAGTGATTTGGAGTTGTGAGTTTGTAATTAGAGCTGTCAGTGGGGATCATCGTCTATGGTAGAAATGTGTCCTTTCAGCAGAACTGTTAAGAGAGAGAGAAAGAGAGGATTGTGATAGGTGGTGGTAGGTGTGAGTAATAAATGGGGGTAAAATGGCCATTTAAGTTACTGATATTTGAAATAAATGAGATTAAAAAATTAGGGGCAAACATATTTTTTTTGCACATTTTTAATGGTGTCAGTGTCGAAAAAGTAAAATTAGACCTAAGTGATAGTAATTTTCGAAAAATATTTTGATGTAATATTTGACCAAACCTGAGAGTGTGTCAATTAATTGACCTTAGTTTCTTTTACATAACATTAAATGTTTATTCAAACACTTTGTTATGAATCCTATATTTAAAAGAGATTCACATTATACATTCAAATGAAAAAGACAAGTTGTCACGGAAGTACGAGATGGAGAAGACGAAAATTAGAATGAGTTTATTAAAAATGACTTAAAAAAAAGTTAAATATTATAGGCGAAATGATTTGTAATAATATAAAAGAAAATGATTTGTAATAATATAAAAGAAAATGATTCTGTATCGAATAGTTGCAGTGAATTGCTAGATATTTTATTTTAATTAGTCAATTATGCAACAAATAAAGAAGTGGAGCCTTCTATTTAGTTGTATTTGGTATAAATAGCCTATTAAAAATTATTCAGTTAGTTAATTCACTGTAAGTGTTCGGTGTGAGTATTACCATTCTAATATAAAATTTGAAAAAGAGAATTATGTGATTAAGGAAAGAATGATATAATGATGATGATGTTATTCTTGATGCTATTAGGTGGATACACTCTGTCCTCAAAGCCTATATTTAGCAGTACAAATTCAGGAAAACGAAATCTTTGTGAGATCTAGCTATGAATATATAATAATAATAATAATAATAATACTAATAATAAATATTAAACATCAATTCGTAGTTGATTCCAAAATAAGGAAATGAGAGAGAGTAATTGAATTTTATTCCAAGCAAAGTTATTATCTTTATTTATTACTTTTTTAATTTTGTAATTATAATTTATTTGTGTATTTATAATTGAACAACGTCATTAAATAGTAGGATGACTTATTTTGTGATAAAAAGACAAGTCTGATCTCAAAAAAAGAAAAGAAAAAAGCTACACAAAGATTTAGATATATGATTCTGTTTGTTGTACAGAGGTATTGTGACAAAGACATAGCAAAAAGAACCACTACAATCATTTGGTTTATGATAGGACTCCATAACTATATAAAACAAAACTTTATAGAAGCAAAGTAATTGATGGTTGGTTGTTGATAATTGCTAAGAAAGGAATGGGATGATTATAATTAACAGGGTAAAAAGCAAATAAAAAAAAAACTTTTAACTATTGTTTTTTTTATAAATAATTTTCCTGAATTATAAATTGTCCCTTTAAACCATTGATATAATGTAATTAAGGACAACTATATCACAAAAGACCATTTTATCGTTTCTTATTAAAATTTTTATTTCTTATTAAATTATTTTTATTATATTTTTTCTTATCTAAATATTAATTATACTATTTACCTTAATTTTATCATTAGTGTCAATTTATCATAAAAATAGAAAGAAAAAAAAAATTTGTAATTATCATTTACTAAAATGATTAACTTATTATTAAACCTTTACTATTTATAATAAAACTTATTATACTTAGTTTAAAATGTTTTACCATAAAATATACCTTCTTTTTCATATAATATATTCATAAAAAATTTAATAATCTTCTTAAATAAAAAATACCTTTTTTTTCATGCAATATATTCATGAAAAATTAAGAAATTACTTAAATTGTTTTAAAATTTTGTACTTAAGATATTTATTTGAACAATTAATTTAAAGGTAAATTTATGCAAATTTAATGGTAAATATGTTATCAAATTAGTACGATTTTTTTTTTCCATAATTTATTTCAATAAGAAAAATAGATTAAGTTTATGAAAAAATAAGAAAGGGTAGTTTTGTCAATTAATGAAAAATAATATAGGTATGGGACATTTTGCAACAAAATGTCATAGTTCATGAGGTATTATGTAAAAAAGAAAAAGCATTTAAAGGAGGTTATTTGCAATTTCAAACATAATTCAAAGGAATTTTTGTAATTTCCCCTAATTAAAAGGTAAATTTTCTTCAGTAGGTTTGTTTATATTTTACATAGACCTTTCTAAATTTAATTACATCACTTATTTATGTTGAGATCTAATTTATTTATTTATTTTGTCATTAGCAAGAAATTCACAAACATTATTCACACAGTTACTTTGCTCATTTGTAAACTTAAATCCTCACTGTTCATTTTAGAAGGTAGATAAGATATTACTATACCACAAAACTCTGATATGTTGAGATCTAATTTATGTAACAGATTTTTCTTCGTTAGGTATTTGACGAAGACAAGCAGAATCTGTTACCAAAATTTTGATAGAAGTTGGTCAATACAAAATGAGAACAAACATTTGGACCTCAGTCATTGACAGAAGAGGTAACTGAAATTATGAAACTGTTCATCTGAGATATTGAGGCATAAATATAATTTACCTTAAATAAAAATGAAAATTGTCTACCAATATTATATGGAATATAATATTTTTTTAGTAATTCTTTTGTAGTTAATGTTTTGATAATCTGACTATTGCATTAAATATCTTTTCCATATTTATTATGCATGTAAAATATTAACTGAAATATACACGTAGAATTAATTACAATATCATACTGTTCTTAAAAACACACAATGATTAATAAAAAATAAAAATCCTGAATATATATACATATATACATACACACTTATATAATTAGAGAGAGAGAGAGAGAGAGAGAGAGAGAGAGAGGGTGGTTGGTTCTGTGACTGGTGGCATACGATAAGTGGTTGGGGTCTCTGAGATTCGGCTAAGCAATATAGCTGGCTCAGAGCTGGCTCCACCATCCTACTCCTAGACGCCTCTCTTCTAGTCTCTCTGTCTCAACACATCTCTCTCACACACACAAAACAGACACACACAAGAAGGTATGTCTCTCTCAGTCTCTATAAAGCAATCAAATGTGCCTGTGTTGTAAGGTCTTCTGTAGTTATATACAGATTATATATGCAAATTAGTGTTTATAATTCTGCTAGGGTTTTGGTTGGTAATGTGATATTTTTATCTTTGAAAGCAGACGTGTAGTAGTTAGAGCAAGAACAAGCAAGAGTAGACGAAGAAGAAGAACTACTGAAGAAAATGAGCGCGTCTAGGTTCATCAAGTGTGTTACTGTGGGCGATGGAGCTGTTGGCAAAACTTGTTTGCTCATCTCCTACACCAGCAACACCTTTCCCACTGTGAGTACCAAATTTTGTAGAATTTCAGTTGTTATTTCACTGTTTTTAGTAAGAATGGTAGGGGTTGTGTGGTTTCATGATAAATCTCTCATTATAGAACAAACATGTTCACTATTTATGCCTCCTTTTATCTCTTTACCGAATTGGGGAAAGCAAAAGAGAACATATTTATTTGAATTGACCAAATTGGGGGCTTTTCTGGTCTGCCAAAAGAGAACACTTGCTTTCATACATAGTTTGTTTCTCAAGAAGAATCAAGGAAAAGCATAGAACAATTTCCTTTTTTGGCTCTTTTTTGGGGCACATTCTTGAAGAAAATTGGTTTTCTTTTCCCAGTGCTGAATTTTTGGAGAAATGAAACAGATGTGTAGTTAGAGCAGAGATGTTCAGCTCCTTTCCAACAAATTATTATTATTTTTAAAAAATTATCCAAAAAAAATAACTGAACATTTTCAATACCCAGAGAGAGGATTAGGGGGGTTTTCATGGATTTTGTTCATTTAAATTTATTGATGAAAGTGTTTTCTTGGGCACAGCTTTATGTGTTTTGGGGTCTGACTATTGAAAATCTATTGAACAAACCCTCTGTTTTAAGGTTTTGCAGCTTTAATTATGTTCGTAATATGTTCAGTAAATAGAAAGTGTTAAAGTCAATGACTTTCTTACAGTTTTCAATGTAATGATTGAATTAATTAGAAAGCTAGAAATGTAACTGCCTGAATCTGCTTATTAGTTTGGATCCAATTCAAATTATGAATTTGATAGAATTAAGGTGATATCTATTGCATACTAATGTACTGCATGGTGAAAATATTTTCTTTATTGTTTAAGGTTGCTTTTGGGGCACAATAAGTGTACCTATGTGGATTTCTTTGTTGTTAACATTTTGTATCTAATGGGAACAGGATTATGTGCCGACTGTTTTTGACAATTTTAGCGCAAATGTGGTTGTGGATGGGAGCACTGTGAATCTTGGGTTGTGGGATACTGCAGGTAAGTTTGTTATGGGTGGTGACTTCTTTGTTTTCTTCTTCAAATTCTTTTATAGTGCTGGGTTTGACTATTGTCTTTTATGAAACAGGCCAGGAGGATTACAATAGGTTAAGACCTTTGAGCTATCGTGGGGCTGATGTCTTTATACTTGCATTTTCTTTGATTAGCAAAGCCAGCTATGAGAATGTTTCCAAAAAGGTGAGGCTGGGCTTCATCATGTAGAGAACGAACTTCTCCTTTCTTCAAATTTCTTTCTTTCAACCCCTCTGTGTTCCTTTAGATTTCTAAGAGAATTTAGAAATGAAACAAAATAAATTTGAGGTTCAACTTTTTTCATTCTTTGGGACCCGATAAAACAAGATGGGCACTCGTTTGAACTTAATTCTATGACAAAACAAGATGCCCATTTACCTGAGATTTATTCAAGATGGGCTCTCATTTGAACTTACCCTGATAAAACAACATACTTCTTTTTTTTTTTTCCTTCAAATATTTAGGGTCTGAAGCAACCAGAACTATAGGACTCCAACTTCATATTCCCTACTCTTAGCAACTAGATGGTGAGTTGAGAATGCCATCTGATCATACAATGCACTGATGAACTCTTTATGTGTTTTGATGTTTCAATGTTCAGTGGATTCCAGAACTGAGGCATTATGCACCTGGGGTTCCAATAATTCTTGTCGGGACAAAGCTTGGTGAGATTCTCCGATTCCATCATTATCCTCATGCTAATGCTATTATTTCCCATCTCAGTCATTTGTATACGAAATCTCCATGTGGATGTAATGGCAATTTTTTTTTACCATAAATGTAGCTTTTCATGCCAAATATGATGAAGTATGTTATATTCTCACTAGAATAATCATTCACTAACTTCATTATCAAGTTTCCTTGAAGCAAATGTGCATACTTTTGGTCTGAGTTTTCTGTATAAAAGTGCTGTTGCTATTATCTCTTCTTTTCAGCATCTTCAATTTTGCATCTTTTATTCCCACGTACAGGCACCTTTTTATGTAAGATTCTTTAGAAAGAGTAGAGCTAGGAGAGATACTTCAATGAGGCTCACTTACAAACCTTCGCTGTTGTAGTTAACTAGTGATGGATTGCCACATCAGCCTAAGACAAAAAGTTCCAATATTTTCTGGAACTATATGCTTCTTACTAAGTTACAAAATACAAGCACCCTGGAACCTTGCAAGATAAAGTTAGAATTTGCAGTTTCTGTAACCTGATGTAAAAGTACTTCTATTCTTATGTAAGTTCCAATATTCTTCTGGAACTATATATATATATATATATATATATATATTTGCGTGTTTATATGGAAAATCATGCTTGGTGTTAAAAAAGAAGGTATCTTCCTTTTCCTAATAGGCTATCAACTGTAGACATTGTACATGCTTTTAGCTAGAATATGATCCATCTATTTCCTAGTCTTTTCTGACAGTTCACACTTCAAATGCATTTGTTTCATTCTTTTTATGGGAGAGGTTAATCCTATTGCTACTATTGGAATGACGGTGTCTTCTAGCACACACCATGTAGAATCTTGGCTCTCTCTTGCTTCTGTTTTGTTTTTCCCTTTTTATAAGTGTCTCCTTAGCTTCTATATATTGTCTAATACACTTAATGACTTCACATTCAATTTAATTTTCCATTTTACTCCTTGTTGCAAATTGCCTTTTCATGAAAGGAAAGAAGGGGGAAACCTGAACCCACTATGACTTGATTCTGCTGTTAATAAGTAGGGAATTAAAAAAAATACAAGATAGTTTTGGCAGCCAAGTTTAATCAAATATGCTTATCGAAGTAGAACGAAGCCCATTTCCAAAGGAACAGTGCAATGGTTCCACTTTACTCATGATAGATTTATAGTAGCTGTCCTGCAAAGTTGGTTCTAGTTTTGAGTAAATAGATTCATCTTTAACAAAAACTGGAAGCTAGTGTGCTTTGATACTTGAATCTGATGTAAAGCCTTAGCAAATGAGTTAAAAAAATTCCATCTTGATATGTAGAGGATTCTAATGAGTTTCCATTTCTAAGATGCTCTCAACTTAGTTTCCTTGTTCACTCGATCTTTTCCCTTTTATAGATGTGACTAGGTTTTCTCCATGATTAGAAGCTCTTTTGAATGTTGACTCACTTGCAAAGAAAGAAAAGGGGATAAACGAGTCCTTTTCGTCAGAGATACTTTGGATACTCGTCTATGTGCTCTGCTAAATGAGGCTCTGGCAATTGCTTGGTTCAGCTGAGGCAATTGAGTTAGGTGACTGCGTTTGGCTCCTAAAGTTAGTGCATTGGTCAATGATAGTTCTCGATGATGTTATATTATTTCATAATTTCATATCTTTATAAGATTTATTTTTCCTTTTTAAGAGAGTATAAGTGGGTAGTTGCTCGTGCATCAAATCACAATGATGGTGATAGGAGTGGCAGTATTTCGCAACTGGGTAGTTGGATGCTAGGAAACACGGACACTTCTCTTGGGGTGCCGTGTTGGTATTAGACACTTAGACGCATGTTAGACACGGTGAGGTGGTTTTGTAATTAAGTTTTTTTCAGAAGAATAGAGTTCAATGTGATTCAAAGTATATTACGTGTTAATTAGAAAAAAAATTATAAAATTTAAGAACACAAAAATAACAAATATCTAGCTCTTAGTTTTAAATTAGTGATTTCAATCATGATTATATGGATAAAATGAACAAATATTATTATTTATGTCTAATATATATTATATTATTATTTTTTGACATATCCATGCCGTATTTGTGTCCTATTTTTTTGAGATTTGTTGTATCACCGTATCCATATTGTGTCGTACCCGTGTCTCGTGTCCGTAGTTGGATGTGTGGTGGATAGAATAGTATGCTTAAAACCCTTCTTGAAGTTTTAGTAAAGGAGTGTAGATAAAGTCTTATTATAATTACAATTTCTTCTATCAACTGCTCATAATCAATGCTTGTACGGTTTGACTTTACAATTCGGAAGCCATGTGTATAGACATGTCAGCATGGAAACCAATGTGAAACTGGGGTTTTCAAATGTTTGCCTGTGGTCATTGCCAATTAGGAATGGCAACAGGGGGGGGGGGGGGGGGGGGGGGTGGGGGGTGGTGTTTGGGCTGAGGCACCATTCTCCATCCCCATCACCGTTTAGCATAGGACTTCCCCTCCCCTGACCTTGTTCCTGCTCCGCATTACTATTTTGCCTGCAAGAGTAATGAATTAATTTCATTACTGGACACATTCATGGTAAAATCTCGAGAAACACTCAGATCTTTCCATCAAACAAAAACAGAGAACCAATTAAGAAATTCTTCATGCAGTCAATTGAGAACAATAGGGAATTTTTATTTTTAATTTTATTTATTATTATTATTTTCTTAAATAAACTATCTGTTTTCACACTGTAATCCAGATTAACAGCTCTTAAACAGAGTAAGTTAGCTTTGCATTTGATGATGTTCAATGAAGAAAGTTAACCTTAATAACAATAGAATGTCTTTATCGCAGTATCTGAATATAGATATATGATATAAATGGAAAAAAAATAATAATAATAATATACATATGTGATAGTTGTCATATCTGTGCAAATAAAGGATTGAGTACACAAAAACAACATAAAGTTGCATGGTTCAGTGCTTCAGATTACGGTATCTGAGAAGGCCAGTGTCGATGAATGCTCAAAAATGGCGTTTGAGGTGTGCGTGCGTGCGTGTGATAGAACCTGCCCCCGGGGGGGTGGTGGGGGTGGGGGTGCGGCCGTGGGTTCCGCTCACAAGCTATTATGAGATTGTAGACCTTGTGATCTGGATTGATAAGCGTCAAATAGGATGCTGATGGTTGATGAGCCAAGCTCTTCAATGGGGTTCGATGGAGGTCTTCTATTGTGTGTGAGTGAGTGAGAGAGAGAGAGCTGCTGATGGTGAATTGGTGATGGGGAAAATGGGATGAAAAGATAAGGTAAAAAAGGACTTAGGGTTTATGGATAAATGGTATTTTAATATTTCTAATAAAGTACAAGGGTATTGTGGTAATTTCATAGCATAAATTTTGGGGGGGGGGGGGGGATTGTCATCCCTATTGTCAATATAGAATGAAGAAAATGATGGAAACAAAAGACTTGCATGGCCATTTTCAATAGAAAGAAAGAGAGGGAGGAGAGGGTATGGGCAACTTGACTCTTCTCTGCCATCTTCAGCGCTTTCTTTTACTTCTCCTTTTTCCCAATTTCTCTGCTTCCCTCCTTGTTATTGTACTTATATCACCTTGGCTAAAACAAGAAGGATGCTTTTAATCTTTGTTACTGACTTCCAAAATTACTCTCCTATTTGGCATATTTGCAATTAAACTCCTTTATTTTTTGCTTTTTTTTTTTTTTTTTTTTAATACATTCTTATAACTTAAACTACTCCTAATACTTTCTTTAGTTGCGTAATAGCAAAGTAATAAATTGGCATGTGAAGCGGTCCTAGTTTTCTCCTTAAATAGGAAGGAGAAATTCGTTTAATATTTTTTCCAAAAAAAAAAAAAAACATTTTATTGTTCCATAAAAAAATTCTTAAATAAAAGGTGATATTCAACAAACGGTATTGCGCACTACTAATAAAATAAAGAAGCACATACAGTTCCAAGTGATAATTTATTATCTATCATGCTCTTACTTATAAATTGTTGTGGTTCTTCTCAAAAATGGCAATTTTCTAACTGTGAGGTGAACAAGTGAAAAAGAGAGGAGGAATTCAACTTCTTCAACCCGAAATTAGCAAGTTTGGTTCACCTTAATTGTGTTTGTCTCATAATCGTGTTAATCCGATTAACCTGCTGAAATAAATGGGTCAAGTTCGAGCTTATACGCTAAAACTGTTTAATTAATGTGTCAGGGTTACCTGTTTCAACAGGATTTGATCCGTCTAACTAAACATGTAAGGTCAACCTTTTTCAACCCATTTAATAAGTGCCAACATTTTTTTGTTTATTCATAGTATCATTATGAAACTGAAGTAAGTTAATTGTGTAATTTATTAAGATGAAATGAAAAGTTTAGTAACTCTTTAATTTTCATTCAATTTTTAAATCTTATATATATATATTTGATACGTAAACTTTGTTTATATATTTCAAATCTTATATTTATATATATATATGCATTTTATAAGAATTTTTTTTTTAAATAGGTTATTAAATGAGTCATTTGGTGTCACGGATTACACGACCTATTTAATACCAAACAGGTTACATGGGTTATGTCATGTAATATGTCTAATAAATGGGTAGTGCTCATATCAAAGGTTCCTGACATGAATAATAATTAGGTTGTGTTCGGGTTGACATATATAGCAGATCACCCTTGTCTTGGCATGACACGAAATGGCCTGTTAGCATGATTTGCCGCCCCTAACTGGGCAAGTGTTTGAAGAAAAAAGTTTTTCCCTCCCTCCATTTGATAAAACTCAATTGCTCATAATCATCAACTTCTCTCCCCTCAATATGACATTCATTCATTCATTTTGGTATTCTTCCTTAGTACAGGTTTTCTTATGTTATAACTTAGGTCAACCAGTCAATTGTATCTTTCCCTTATTTTTGAACAATATCCAAATGATCTCTTATGCTAATAAAGTTTCTGTTAGTTACAAGTGTTTCCGAATTTCGTTTTTTAAGAAATTTTCAATTAATAAAGGATTTTGCATGCTAATGCTAATTTCTGATTCGAAAGTGTTGTTGATGTACTTTATTGGATTAGTGTGCAGTTCCTTAGGTAATATTGTCAATTGTCGTTCAATGGCTCATTAGGTTGTGTTCAGGTTGACATATATAGCAGATCACCCTTGTCTTGGCATGACACGAAATGGCCTGTTAGCATGATTTGCCGCCCCTAACTGGTCAAGTGTTTGAACAAAAAAGTTTTTCTCTAAATAGGCCTCTTATCTCTTCTTCTGAATCCCACACATTTGATAAAACTCAATTGCTCATAATCATCAATTTCTCTCCCCTGAACGTGACATTCGTTCATTTATTTTGGTATTCTTCCTTAGTACAGGTTTTCTTATGTTATAACTTAGGTCAACCAGTCAATTGTATCTTTCCCTTATTTTTGAACAATATCCAAATGATCTCTTATGCTAATAAAGTTTCTGTTAGTTACAAGTGTTTCCGAATTTCGTTTTTTAAGAAATTTTCAATTAATAAAGGATTTTGCATGCTAATGCTAATTTCTGATTTGAAAGTGTTGTTGATGCACTTTATTGGATTAGTGTGCAGTTCCTTAGGTAATATTGTCAATTGTTTGCACCCAAGAGGATTTGAACCTTAGACCTGAGGCACCAAGGACAAGTTCTTACCCACTTGAGCCAACCCCTTGGGGTTAAAATTATTCTCTTTATTTTCAATGATTTACTAACTCATCATATGAGTACTTATCACATTCAATTTTGTTTTTTCTAAAAGATATCATGAATATATTCTTAAAAAAAAAAAAAAAAAAAAAAAAAAAAAAAAAAAAAAATTGCTCATGACCTCATCTTTGGCAGAAGCAAGTTTTGTATGGATGTGCAGATCATGGTACCGTTTCATCTGAGTTGCGAAACTGTTCAGTTTCCAAAGTTCAAAATTCTCATTTGTGTTCAAAATGTTTCTCCTAGAACATATGAAAGCTATTATGTTTCATGGACTCAAGTACATGTGCACGTGTATGTATCTAATCGGCGGATTTATCATATCCCCAATATACGGGGACATGGTTGTATATTAATATTTCAGCTTTCTTCTTATATTTATTATGTTAAACACTAAACTGTGTATTTACGTTGCATAGTGTGTTCGTACTTGGGTCGTTTGGTATTACTGACATCTGCTTAATTGTTCTCCTTGGTTTATCATCATGATTATTATGCATTACTCAATGTTGTATTGTTTGTTTTATTTTCTTTTGCTACCTAATATTTTCCTGTTCTTTTTATTTCGTTTTATTCTCTTCTGCATATGTATATTTTCTTCTTGTATTTGTTTTTGGTTGCGTGAGAAGTCCCTCGTCATTGACTTCTGATTTTGCGATCAATAGATCTTCGGGAAGACAAGCAGTTCTTTGTAGACCACCCTGGTGCCGTGCCTATTACCACAGCTCAGGTAGATGCTATTGCAACTAATTCTCATAGTCATTTTCTGATTTCGCAATGTATCATGTTCCCATGTAATTTGCATACTACAAGAGAAGACCTGACTCCCTACTTTCTTCTGCAGGGAGAGGAGCTGAGAAAGCTGATTGGTGCTCCTGCTTACATAGAATGTAGTTCAAAAACTCAGCAGGTGGCTTTTTACTTACATCACTGTGCATCATGCCGATAATTTTTGTTACAGCTTTATTATTGATGGTATTTCTGGAACTTTTTTCAATTTACAGAATGTGAAGGCGGTTTTTGATGCGGCCATTAAGGTGGTTCTTCAGCCACCAAAGCAGAAGAAGAAAAAGAAGAGAAAGGGACAAAAAGCATGCCACATATTGTGACTGGGGAAAGAATTGGTGCCGAGAGAAAAGATGACTAACTAGCTGATTAGACCCTATTAGTGTCTTGATCTCTCTCCCAGTCTTTCCAATTTGAGGAAGCAGTATGCTGCGGTCTGTAGTCTCGACTGATTCTACTAGGGAGCTCTGTTACTGATTTTTATATCAATGATTCAAAATGTGCTTGATAACATGTGGAACTCTATGTGTCTTTCGTTCTAGATTTTATTTGATGTATTAACCATATTGTTGAAAGATCTACGTTTATAGAAAGACCAAGCTGTTTCCTCTTGTAAACAGTTCTGTATACTACTATCTAAGGCTTGTTTAGAATATTTCAAGAGGCATGAATATATTTGTGATTGTATTCAGTTGTATTATATCTCTCACCCAAACAGAGCCAATTTTTCTTTGAATGGTCCAAAATGGTTTCGAAGCCAACTTTTGTTGTGCGCTTGGACTCCTTGCGCGTAGTTAAAGTTTACCGTGATTTCTGAAATGGAAAAGCTAGGAAAAACAGAGAATTCTGTGGGGCTATTGATCAAATTTCTGAATGATTCTGTAAATATCTGTGATGTATTTGAAGTCTATTACCTATAAAGTTGTTCCAGATTCTTTATTAGCGGATGGTATGAGCTAAGTACGAATGTCTTTTCCCTTGAGAAAGATAGTGGTAGTGATTGCCAATATTCTTGATTGGATGTTTGTCCTGCCGTGTTCCTTTCACTGAATTTTAGCCATCCCTTAAAAAGTGATTCCCACATTTGAATTTGAATTTGAATATGTGGTTTGTTTTATCAATTTTATTATGATATTACATTGCTGTCAATGGCTCATTTCAGTGGTGTCATTAGTGATCAAAATAGCAATTATCTTCAACTTTATTGTTTTAATTTCAGCAAAAAGGTGGTGTTGCTTTTCATATCTCACAGCCTCTTATTCTTTACTTGCCACTTTTTGCTTGCTGGAATATATACCACTAGTGGACCTTCTCCCTTCCATCAAATTCTAGCCCCACCACCACCGCCACCAACACCATCACCACCACCACCACCAATTCCTCCATTAAATACGCGGCTTCAGCTTTGCAGGTTGTTCATAGATTGTTTTCCCTTCCTCTGCTTTCCCATCTCTCTCTGAATTCCTACTTGTTGAACTCAGTTTTGCTTTAATGGCGTCGAAGAGAATCTTGAAAGAACTGAAGGACATACAGAGAGACCCCCCAACTTCATGCAGTGCAGGTAAAAAAAAAAAAAAACTAGTTCATTTCAGGTCCTGTGGAGGAGAATCTTGAAAGAACTGAAGGACATACACTAGTTCTTTCTCTTTATCATAGGCAATGAATATGAATAAGATTGTTGTTCATTTCAGGTCCTGTGGCTGAAGATATGTTCCATTGGCAAGCAACCATCATCGGTCCAAACGATAGCCCGTACGCGGGAGGTGTCTTCCTTGTGACTATCCATTTCCCACCTGATTATCCTTTCAAACCTCCAAAGGTACGAGTCATGAAACACAGATTGATTTTGATTATTAATTATTCAGTGATCATTTTTTATTTTATTTTTATCATCTGTTTTCTAAACAATCTCTGATGTTTTTGGTGGCTTAAAACTGCTTTCAGGTAGCTTTCAGGACCAGAGTTTTCCATCCAAACATCAACAGTAATGGGAATATTTGCTTGGACATACTCAAGGAACAATGGAGTCCTGCTCTCACCATATCCAAGGTGATGATTTTAGGAATTAAGAAGTTTCTCACCACATGGAAGTTAAAACTAGCTTTTATTTCTTCTTCTTCTTCTTCTCTCTCTATAAATAAAATTCTAAATAAAAATTTGAAGCATTTAAAAAGAAAAAGAAAATTTTAAAAATGCGCCAATAGTTTTTTTTTTTTTGACTGGTTGAGTATTGATCTAACCTTTTGATAGTATGAGTGATCCCTTAATATCGATAGGTTGTTAAAGGATTGAATTTTGATCTGAATGCATTCAATTTATCATTAAATTCATTAATACTAATAATAATAATAAATAGAATTAATAAGTCTGAAAAAAAATAATATATATATATATATATATATATATATATAGTCTCTTAGATGTGTTTGTAAACTTTGTACCAATACAAGACTTGTGTTGGAGAGTACTTAGGGTGTGTTGGCTGTGATAAGGATGTGTTGGTTAAATGTTAGTAAAATTTATTTTTGTATTATTGACACGACTATGAAATGTCTGCAATGTGTCCATAATTGTCGGTCGAGTGATAGCGTCGACCCGTGTTACATTTTCATAAAATTGTCAATGTAAGCTCTTATTTCATGATTTTTGGTAAGTTGTTATTCCAAAATGTAATTAATTGGGCGATTGATGCAGGTTTTACTGTCTGTATGTTCACTGCTTACGGATCCGAACCCTGATGACCCACTGGTTCCTGAGATTGCTCATATGTTCAAGACTGATAAAGTTAAGTATGAGTCCACGGCTAGAAGCTGGACCCAGAAATATGCCATGGGCTGAACCGCCACCACCACCACCACCACCACCACCACCACCATGTTTGGCCAATTAGTCTATATCATTTATACACTCCATGTGTTCCAAGGATGTAATTTGTAATTTGAGCATCTCTTTGTTCAGAATAAAATATTGTAAACTATTTTAATACACTACATGTTTGATGTGTTCCAAGGATGTAACGTGTAATTTGAGCATCTCTCTGTTCGGAATAAATTGAAAAGGTTGGTGAGTTTATATGGCAATCTAATCATGTCTTATTGGTCTTCCACCAGAATAGTAAGTTTCTCAATACAATACGGGCCTGTTTGAAGGCTCATATCTGTTATTTTTTTCATGTTTTGGTTTTATTTTTGGGCTAATATCATGTTTGGAGTGAGCTGATGTGATATTGTACAGTGTAAAAACATTATGAGATTTGGGCCAAAACCCATATCAAAGAATTGTTGATATTGGGTGATATGGTATACTGTAGCGGCCATATCAACCCAAACCAAAACCATATCAACCCTCGTTTAACTGTAGCGGTGATATCAAGTATAAAAAATCACATATCAGAAAACCTACCATTTTTCATCGTCATTTTCTCTCTCATCACGCAGCTCCTTTGGAGGCAATTTCATGGGCGACAAGTATTCGACATCCTTTTCCTTACACCTTCGTAGCTAGTTAGATCTATCTCAACCTTCCTTACATCGTTGTTGCTAGGATACAGATCGATCAACCCTCCCGTACTTGGTTTTCAGCTCAATCCTCTCTCTGTTATGTATTTCTGTGACCCGAATCTGAAACCCTAGAGTTGTTCGCAACCACAGATCGATGCTCTTTCAGGTGCTCTTTCCCTCTGTCTCTCTCTCTATATATATACAGTAGCAAAATCCAGATTCTCGATTCTCAGATCTATGTCTGTTGTATGATTTGTCTCTGTTTTCGCGCATCTCTTTGTCTCTGTTCTCTCTCTTTATATATATAAGTTCATCAAGGCCGTTCATTGTGACAAGCATATTAGTGGCGGTTACGTCCGGGCCGAGGGGGTAATGATTTTCTCTGTTATACTCTTATATCGATGTACACATTTCTGTTCAACTGAACAAATAAATTTCAATGTCAAAGACTCATTTGTAGGTGTGAATTTAATCTTTCAGTATAGGTTTCAAATACTTATCAAAAACCAAGCTCAAATTATGACCCCAGTCATTTCTTAGTGATTACAAGTTGTTTCTGATTACATCATGACGATTTTAAAGTTTTTGTGCCTGAAACTTATTTGATCCAAAGACCTGAATTGAAAGATTAATTTTGGAAAGCACAAATCTTGTAGTGAATTATTAATTAATTGTTCATCCACTCTCCAAATTTTGTGGTACCTTTGAAACTCACACATTTAAATTTAGGCCAAAGTATAACTTACTTTTCAAATTTCATCTGAATTTTCGTGTGTGATAAAAGTTACTTAACCAAATACATACTTCAATATGTTAAAGGTGGAGTCTAAATAATGAAATAATACTATCTTTCTGCTTATTCCCTTGAACCTGGTGGTTTAGTGTGTGAATGATCACTTACAATCTCAATGAGATATGGTTGGCACTGGAGCTGAATTATCGTCAAGTATAACTATCTTTTGATTGAACAATTTTGGTAAACTTTTGGCACCTTTTCTTTCTAAAGTCATCTTGATTGATCAAGTTATCTTTTGTCAATTATCAAGATCGATAGTAAAATTTGTTCTCTTTTAAAAATCCTTTTTCTTTTTTCTTTTTTTTTTTTCAATTTTGTGTCTGCCTTCATCAGAGTGTTTCATATTGATCTGTGTTGTCTTCTTTTTGTTGGATGACATTTTGACATACTTATGCCATTTTTCTTTCTATATTTTGTGGTTTTCAGATAGTGGTATGTAGTAATCACATGAACATTCAATATGAGGTCAATCAAGCTGTTATTCATGAGCTCATTCATGCATATGATGACTGTCGTGCTGCAAACTTGGACTGGTATAATTGTGCTCATCATGCCTGTAGCAAGGTTTGCGTCCCTATGCCAGCAGACTATTTTCTTGCAGTCAGTTTGTTGGAGTTTCTGTAATTCATTTTTCTATGTTCCATGTGAAACAGATTCGTGCTGGTCATCTAAGTGGTGATTGCCACTACAAGCGGGAATTGTTGCGGGGTTTTGTGAAGATAAGAGGTCATGAGCAGGTGATTTCATTTTCTTTAAAAAAATTATAAAGTTATATTACGAATCTGCTTTCTGAACATCCACCATTTTGGAAGGCAAACTTGTCAATCTAATCTCTCGCTAAGCTTATGATGTACTTTAGTTTATTAGCAGATACACATATATTTCTGGTGGGTACCCCATCAACATATATTCATTACACAAGTTATATATACAGTTATTTAAAGTTAATGAGAAAAAGAAGCAACTTTAGAGAGGTGGGAGTTTAATGTTTTAAGATTCAGGACTTCTAGTTTTTCTTCCCCCCTCCCCTTCTTTAATTCAATGTTTAATATGTTGATTCTTTTTTTAAGATTTATGCTAATTTTATGTTATTCGACAATTTTTAAACCTAATCTTTATTTTCAATTAAAATTGCAATTAGTAAGATATGCAGTAGTACTCTTTTTCAGCCATGGTTTATTCTCTTTTTCCAGAAAAGCAGAAAACACATATTGTTGAAAGTGACTAAAATATTCTTGGCATCCCTATTGGGTGGATTTTTGTACATATCTTTTCATCTATTTTTCTCTCTTGTCAAAGGCAAAGCTATGCAGTAGTGCAGTACATGCACATGCTACGTATTTCTGAATAAAATGTCACCTGTGAATTTTAAAGGACATAGCTGTATGATTCTAGAGTGGGCAAAGTTTGGAAAGAAGTGGATCACAACACAACTGATTGTTTCGTGCATTGGGTTTTAGATGCAAAGCATTTATTCATCTCACCATTAGCCTTTGCACTTGTGTTTCTTTGAATTGTGTGTGCTTGTCTGCATGTTAGATTTGCATATGATAGTTGCACTATTTTAAATAACTTTTCCTTTTCAGTTAAGGAAGTGAGAGTAAAATAATCATTTGAGAAGGTAATTTTGGGTTATTTTTTCCTTGCAAAGTCCTGAGAGCCAATGATCACCTGCCCTTTGAAGGAATCACATCAAAGGCAATTCAATACTGTACGACCATGGTTTCAAGATCAAAAATCAAATTTGTTATTTGTTATTTGTTATTTTTATTTTCTTTCTCTAGGTAATCGCACACACCCATTTGTCCAATTGCATGAGGTCATTTACACTTTAAATTTATAACTTAGCCTGAAAAAAGGTTAGATATATCTTGCTTACTACTTCTAATTATTTCATTCCTACCGTATATTATTTTGTTTTTCTCTAATATTGTTCATGTGTTTTGTTTTGCATGAGGTCATTTACACTCTAAATTTGCAGCTTAACCTGAAAAAAGGTTAGATATATCTTGCTTGAATTAAATTTGTGGACGGTGTCCCTTGTTAAATGAATTTTGTGGGCGGTGTCCCTTGTTCAAATGAATTTTGTGAGCGGTGTCCCTTGTTGAATTAATTTTGTGGGCGGTGTCCCTTGTATATATTGTGTTTTGGAATTTTGGAAATGTCCATTTTTAAGGGGAAATTATACCGAATTTTTTTTAAAAAAAAAATCAAAAAAATTGAATTTAACTCTGCTTTATATTTTATGGAATGTCCAGTGGGATTGATAGGAAGCATTCTCCAGTTGCTGTAACTCCAGGAAGCTAGTGATCTCTAAGTTAATCAAATGGAGGCCTATGCAAGTATAAAGAAGTGGGTGTACATTTTATGGAATGAATATTAGTGATCTCCAGTTTTGTGTACATTTTAAGTAAGTGTAATGAAGTGTGTGTGTACACACATACTATTTTTAAGGAATGTCTAGCTCCTTATATGTGGAAGTATATATGTGAATGGTGCAATACTCAAGTTTTTAAGATTGTGATGTACAAAGCAAAACTATAAGTGGAAGTATATATGTGAATGTTGTTCAGTCTTGTAAGAGAGGGATCTTCCTTGATTGCTTGTTTTTAATCTTTATTCATATTTATCAATTCTGCTTATGGTTGGAGATTGTATGAAATATTCAGAAACCGGTTATCAAAATAAATACTCAAGAAAAGGGGAAATGGTCTCGTGACTAAATAAAAAAATATTACCAATTTGAAGGACCTCCAGTACAAAATTTCAAACTAATCTTAGTGAAGTAAAACTATTCACAAGCTTCACTGTCCATCAAATCTCAACTCTGACCAATTCAAGAAGATCAATGTTTTGGCTTTTCTTGTTAGTTTCAATTACAAGGATCTCTTGCTTACATTCATCATGAATTTATATAATATATATATGAAACAAAACAAAACAAAGTTAAATGGAATGCAAGCCAAAAGAAAAAGATAAATGGAATGTAAAGATCTGCTAAATGGCTTTGTTTCTTTTAGTTTGGTTGCCACTATACATCTAAATTTATTCATAATTTTTTTTCCCCAACTCTAATGCAGAACATATATATATTTTTTTAATTTTAACAAATTATCTCAAATCATAAAGAAAAATGGACTATTTATATATAAACTTATAATTGTATTCATATATATAATTTTTCAAAACAAAAACAAAACAGTCTTTACCAAACAGGTTTTCTGTTATTGATTCAGAATTTTTGATAACAAAACTAACTTCCCAAATATGTTTTGTTTTCGGATTCTTTAAAATGCATGACAATACCAAACGTGTTATTATGTTTCTGATATACAATTATCAAAAACAAAACAATCGTTACCAAACATGGATCCGATTTCTACTAAAAACATACCAATGCCAAAACGGTTGTTTTCATATCATACCAAACTATAACATATAACGTTATCGCCATCCAAACGGACCCTACACTCTTTTTTCTTCGCTTTCTTCCTTTTCCTATTTATACACACACCTTTCTGCCCTAAAGTTCCTATACTTGGGGCCCACGTTCAAAAGATGATGGGCTTCTTATGCTGTTGCTCGGTCGGTCTCTTATGATGCATGTATTGGGCTTGACTCATCCCCTTTGGGCCAATCTATTTCTTCCGACACGTATCATTTGTGGATTGGGGCACGCGCCCTCACCTTGTTGGTGGGCATTTTTGCCCTTTCACCTTGCTCCCTAATTACCCTCCGTCAATGGTGGGTAATTATACATTTTGTAGACTATGCAAGTTATGAT